ATATGAAGCCAAGGACAACAACAACATTTCACAAAAGTAACTAACCTTACAATATTTGACTCTATTACAACTCACAAGCTTCACCGACAAAACAACTGCCTTATATTAAACACGTTTTCCAAACAAATATAACATGCTAACGTTATTAGCACAAGCCTATGGCATTTTACGTTGCATAAATTAGCCTAGCAGCTAGCGTTTTTTTCCCTCTTCTCATATAAGCCAGGATAAATCACACACAAGACTTAAAATGCTATTTTAGCGGGGGCTTTATTGTCTTTACAATTTACTGTTTCTTATCTGTGAAATAAAAGTTAATAAAAATGGTGAAAGTAAATGGTTTCAGCTTACAAAAATAGACAGGAGGTCTGTGTCGCCACTATGTGTAGTTACATTATAGATCATATTACTCTGGCTCCCTGTTAAACATCTTCTCAATATAGAAATTATACTTCTCACTTGTAAGGCCCTTCATAATCCAGCTCCTTTGTATTGTTCCAAACTCTTTATTATCACCCTCACGTACTCTCTGATCCTCTGCTGTCATCTAACTCAATTCACCATCTGCTCGCTTGACTACTGTGGGGTCTTGAGCCTTCAGCCGTTCTGCCTCATGCCTTTGGAAATCTCTACCACAAGACATTTGCAATATCGCAAAATTACTTATCCCCAAATCCTGTCTGAAAACACACCTTCTCAAACTGATATATCAGGTCTGATCCTGACCCTAATGGTTACACCCACACTGAGTGTTGCACTGGTGATGATCCATTTATGAATCTTTCAGATGACAAATCAACTAAACTATACAGAAAGTTGTTGCACAGGTTGATTTGGCTTCTTTTACAAACTGGGCAATCTGCAAAATATTTGTAAAACTGTATACTTTAATAACTTCACCTTCAATTTGAGATTTTCATTGAAGCAACAGCTGAAGATGGTGGCAATGCGTGAACACAATTACAGATAGGGCCTTTAATTACTGGAGAAAACCAACCAGAACTTTTCGGGTATGTCTGTGGCTGTTAAAGCAGCTGCCTCTGTGGCTGAGGATAGACTGTGTGTGGGCAGTGAAGGGGGAAGGGCTGCACTCTGCATCACAGTCACATCTTAACAAGTAGTTATTGCAGACTAAAAGGGTATGTAATCAATGTTATTTCGAGGAGAGAACCCACAAGGAGCAGCAAGCTGACAGTCCTCTGTTGTGCTCTTCTTCTGTTCGACATGTCATCTGTCCTCTCCTCCTCCTTAATCATACTGTCCTTGCATCCTTTTTATGTCTCCTCCTCTTCTCTTACTCTCCACTCTCTGCCTCTTGTCTCTTTCTGTCCCTTATTGTTTTCTTTTGCCTTCATACATCACATCTTGGCCTCCCTTTCCATTTTTTTATCCTCTCTTTTTCACCCTCTTTTCACTTCTCCCCTTTCATCTCTCTCCTCTCCTCTGTCTTCTTGTTTCTGCCCGTGTAATTACAAGAGCGATGCAGCACCCATCCGGAGGACAGCATGCTATTTACAACAGATGGTAAAGAGCATCTCAGTCCACATCCTAAATTGATTTTTTTCTCCACAGGCACAGACACAAATGTACATGTGTGGGTGCACAAGTGCATATGCACACACCCATTAACGTATCATATTCTTATACACCTTATACACCTTAGAATAGTGACAGAAAATAGCATTAAAAATCATATTGTCACTAACTTAACACACATTTGGCTATTGAACAGAATCTCCAGAATAAAATCAATAATGTTCCTATTTTAGATACTTAAGAGCTTTCGGCATCTTTCACTTGACACAAAGAATCTCACCATATGGACCACTCAGTAGCTGTTCTGGAGCTTTTGATCGTATCACATGATCTTCCTCAGCAGAAGGTGCAACTGAAGTGGGATTGCTTTTGTCAACTGCTGCTTCAAAAGGTCAAAAGGTAGACTTTAAATCTCTATATCTTTCAAGTTTTGATGACAAATTATTTGATTTGAATAAGTTTTAGGGAAAATACATACTCTTCTTCACACCCTCCTCATATGAGGACATCACATTTTGGGTTTACTTGACCTTATACTTCATTCTACTTAACTTAGACCTGTTGTCCTCCTTCGTGGACACTGTTTGTGCCATCTAGTGGTAGTAAGAGCACAATACACTAATCCATGTAAAAACAAGATGGCAGCCATCTCTGCCAAGTCAATCTGAAGCCGATCCCAACACAAAAGTGGACAAGGTCCAAAATCTGATCACATTTTATGACTGAAACTTGTTTATTTATGATTGATAATGTTTGTAGTTTGATACGGCAACAAATTTGACCAATTTTAGCAACAGTAACAAGATAAGACACTGTTGATTAGGTGGGTGGGACTTATTGTCGTCCTTTTTGAGGACATTGGGACTTAATTATTGTTGACAGTGTTGAGTCTTTTATACTTATTGGGTCCTACTGATCCCAAATAGCTAGGAGAAATTAAAAATGCATGCCAAACAAAAGTTCGGGTCTCAGGAGGATACGGCAGGGATGGGTTTACACAACTAGAGAACTTACAACTCCATGTTTTATTATTAGTGGAGTGATAACTGCTGTTACAAGTGGGCATCTGTGTTGCACTATTATCTGTCACTGCTTATCCTTTCTTAATCACATTCACACAGCTTGTCTTTTAAATTTAGAGTCAACAGTTAATCTAACCTGCATGTCTTTGAACTTTAGGAGGAAGTTGGAGAAAACATGACACGGATAGAAGATGCACACAGACGGTTTGAACCCAAGCACTCCTCTTACGAGGTGTCAGCTCACATTTTTGAAAAGACGATGCTCAAGGGACACTTGATTGACAACTTTTACCTTAAATGGCCATGTTTATATTTGTTTATGCTTCCCTTTGATTTGTTCTCAAGTCTGTGACCTATGTTTTCTCTTTAGTGTTATGTTTTCAACAAGTTTGTTAAAAAAAAAACTACACGGACCTGAAAAGACACCCCTCCCTTCAGCCATTAATTCTGGTAATTTCCCCCACAGGGGCACTTTTCCTTTGGGCAAGAGAAATTTCTCATCAGCAGGGTCAACTACACCCCTTCAAGTTAAAAAAAAAAGAGTGCTGTAATTCTTTTTTTTTTCAGAGATATACTCTGTGATATTTGTAGTTAAGATCTACATGTCAGATTTTATTTATGCTTCAGATCATGTTAGATATAATTAACCCAGCATGCTCTGCATCTGTCCGCATTTAGCTGCTTTTTTCTAAGCTTCACTCTGTGGAGCGGACGTTTATACAGTCTATGGACAAATGTAATGTCACCTGTTTGTGGGGTGCCATTTTAATGCACATGGGTCTCTGTTAAAAGGTGATTTAGCGCCCCCTGCTGCTTGATTTACAAACAGTTGGTCTTACTGAACACCACAATATGCTGAGTAAATCTTAAAGGGATGTTTTAAGTGAATTTAGTTTGACTTTGAAATTTAGATCAGTGGTTCCAATCCGTACTAATATATTTATGATTAAAAGAAGACAGACAGACAGTGAGAGGACTATGTATGGAGTGTCTAACAATCACTTCTCGTGTTTAACGTTCAGCATAAGCCAAATCACTCTGACAGTTTGAACCATGGTGCTCAAAATTCAAACTGGCAGGAGACATAAACAACTTAAGACATGTAATTTCCTAACTGCTCCACTCCACGATCATTTCCTGTAATTACAACTACACCATAAACGCTGAACACTTCCTGTGGCGGTTGAAGACAAGCATAATAACTGCAGCTTTACAATAACGTTATAATAAATGAATCAGACTGCAGAACAAGACGGCCCTCATGATGAAAAAAAAAAACAGTACATGGTTTAACTTCATGCCTGCAGTGTATGTCACAGTAGGTGTGGGCGTGTGAATCGGGTGGAGAGCACCGCTGCAGGCTGAGTTCAAGGCTAAAACACTGAAGACGAGCTGATAGGAAGTGGTTCAAACCACCGATACTGTATTTAGACCTGTCAGGGCTCAGCAGCCAGAGGTTTCAGGCAGCTAAACTGCGACAATGACATTTGAGAAAGACGCTGAGGATGCAAAGCAGGTTAACAACGTGGCCAAAGTCTTACAATGCCTGTGAAAAGGTTGTGGTGTTTCACAACTTTTGGACACTTAACCATCAGAAAAGCCTCAATGTCAAAGTTAAAACTCATACATGCTGAAGAAGTTGAAATATAAGCTACTGTGTCACTGATTGCATACTAACTACTGCAGTTAAGTGTATTATAAGGTTTTGGCAGCATTTTAAACATTTCAATGACCTTATTGTAGGTTTGTTTGACATGTTTCTTTGTCTTTGTGATGCACTTTTTGCCAGGATATTCAGTAGCTGGATATAAGTTACTGAAATTCAACCTGAGATCACTTGTCACACCTTAACTACACACCGTTCAACCCATTGTGTGAAACAACTGGATACACCAGTGATTATTTAAGTAGGTGTGTCATTCTAGGCCCAAAGGAGCAAATATTTATGCAATTAATGATCCCCCCTTCAAATGATGAACTTCAGTATTAAAGACTCAAGAGCTAACTACATCCACTGTGCTGTACACAGATAAACCGTGATATGAAGAGAAGACGACAAAGATGAGAAAGAAAGAAAGTTTGTGTCTCATTACTTGTGGCAAGAAGTGAAAGACAGCTGGGGAAAGTTTCTCTGTGTAGAACAGGAAGCCACTGCTGCTTTATTAGTCATATAGAGATGCTGTCTAGCCAAGAGCAACTAGTATAACTTGCTACACCAAAAGTAACAAGAGCCATTTTAAATTGGTGATGACAGACAGAGGCAGTTTAGTTCCTATAATGTCTCAGCTGATTAGTTGACCTAATTTAATTTAAATGACTTAAACAGCATCATATGGTTTCATTTAGTTCAGTTTGTTCACTCAAACTCAAGATCCTGTGATGAGGTTTCCATAATTGGCTCATAAATGTGCCCTGTGGCTCAGTCTGTGTGGTTCGTCCTACCTGAGCGAGCTCCCCGGAGCCTGAACAGCACTCTGGAGCGAAATCCGGAGGTGTCACTGTGTGAGCGGAACCTGGGGAGAGGCCAGGGCAGAGAAAAGTGCTTCATCTCAGGATGGGTGTCCTCCTCCTCATCCATGCTCCCCTGCTCTGTCAGCCCCGCAGGATTGGGGTCGCAGATTTACAGTGACAAGAAGGACGAGAAAAAACCTCACAGGAACTTGATTAACATCAGCAGCTGCCAGACTTCCCCTCCTCATCTAGTCAGTCAAAGTTTTCTCCTGCAGCAGATAAACTGCGCGTGTGTGGTGTGTGTGTGTGTGTGTGTGCATGTGTGTGTGTGTTTGTGTGTGTTCACGCCCACTGCGCCTGAAAGACAGGTTGCTTATTTAGTGACAGGTTGAAATGTGATCTGGCCACAAAGTGAAGACTGGCTGTATGCCTTTTATCTGACACACTGCTGAACCTGTTTTTAAGCCTCTAAGTGTGAGTATATTTTGTGTGTATGATATTTGCAGAAAAGTAAACAGGGCTGCCCATAAGGGGGGCAAAAAGGGACCAACTTTTTGGGGCCAAGCTGCTAAGCAAGGCCCATGGAAGCCAGCGTTATAGTTATCTTAACAAAATATTCATTATTACTTATTAAAACAACTAAATAAGCATTGTACTTATTGTCCTTTTCAGCGGCTGAGCCATTTGTGTGGGCAGGCCTGCACATAAATACTGAAACGTAAGGTTAAACTCAGCTGAATGTATGATTTTGCACCACATTGCCCTCTGCTGCCATTTTTATTTTGCTTGCATGAAAAATCAATATCTTACGACAAGCCTCGGTTGTGGGTGTTTTAATTAATGTCAAAGCATTATCTTCAGGAAGTGAGGACATCTTTAGCTGTTACCCAATTTAAAAATATATATATTAAAGCATCTGGATGCAGGTTCTGTATTATCTGTGGGAATCTAGTGCATGAAAAGAAACAGAAAAAGGAACAGCAGCATCACCAGGATGACTTGTTACTTTATAGATAGATAAAATTATGTGGGTGGTGCATTAGTTAGGTGGATTACCAAATAGCTAAAATATTACGCAATGACAAAATGTCAATTTAGCATCATGGAAAATTAACAGACCCAAGTAGCTGCAGTAGCTGCTATCAAACACTAGATGTCGCTAAATCACCACTCTGCTGACACACAGCTTCTGTCATGCTTTTCACCGAGAGGTGATAAAAAGGAAAGAGCTCTCACTCTGATCTTGTTTTTCAGGCACCAGAACTTCTTAAAGTTTGATGTTTGGATGGAGCAGAGCAACATATGTTAACATCCAGAGCTATTATTTGTTTTGTATAAATAAAGATAGACTGACTACATATTAGGGTTGTTTGTCTTGTGTGCTTTCACACTACATGGATGTGTCATACATGGTGGCATTTACCTGCAATGCTTTGTGCCTGTGGCCTCCTTATAATGTTGCTCAGCCTGTAGCACAGCTATAGACGGATTTCAGCTGGTAGAGTTGAACAATTAATGTCAAAAAAGCTACACAATTAAACACCTCTGCAGCAGTGTTTCGCTTAGCCTATAACATTGATTTTCCCCACAAGGTTTAGCCTGTGCATACACGTAGGCCTATTTTGGCCTCACACTGCCCATGAAAGCAGATTTTGTTTTCGTTTGGGTCTAGGCCTATTATGAAAAACAAGATAAGATAAGATAAGATAAGATAAGATAAGATAAGATAAGATAAGAGGGACTTTACTGTCACTCATCTATATGCAGTGCAAAATCATATGAATAAAACTGTGTATTTCCTGGTCCGGAATGAAAAGAATCAATGATGCAACTGTCAGACGGGGTGAAGCACACATTCAGACTACACATAATGTGCAAATGACATAAGGCTGTGGATTAAAGATGGTGCCGCAGATGGCTGCCTGTGTTTCCCCTTATAGACACCACACATCTTACATCTGTCTATATTCTTCATATTAATGGATGTAAAGAATAAGGTGTGGGCTGTGTCTGACTTATTGATGTCATTTCTGTTTGTCATTGATGCTGCTCTGTTCTGTTCCTGTTGGGGTCTTTGCTGCTGCTCTCCCTGCCTTGTGCTTTCCACGTAAGCGCCTGAAAGAGGCTTTCTGCATAGGCCCGAGCAAAGGCAGAGGGGCCCCAGGACAGAGCCATACTGCCAAGTATAATACTGCAAATGGAAATAAAGTGTTCTTTGACTAAAGTGTCACAATCACTCACTTGACCCAGTTTTATAACAATAGAGTATCTGGCAAAATATACAACTATACAAGATTGTATTGCAAAAGATATAAGGAAATAGTGTGCATCATGTAAGTGTAGGTTGTCAGTGCAACTCGCTTTTCTTTTCTTTTGTTTTTTCACCACAGAGTGATCATCTTCATTATATACAATCTGTGCTCCTCCCTCAGTAGCAGTAGCAGCAGCAGCTCTGTCCTGGATCAGTGGAGATGGGCTGAGGCGGAGAGGACACACTCGACAACACCGAGACCGTTTAGTGTAGCAGCTACAGAAGGGAACCCACGGGTAAGCTCACCCTAACGTTTAACTTAATAAATGAACACTAATAAAACACCTGTGTTGTTTCACACAGCTTAAATTACCAGCTGTATTTAACGGGACTGGCTAACACGAGTGGCGAACGTTAGCTAGGTGAGGTTATCGTGTGTGACAAAACTTCGTCAGTTACCACAAACGTAGCTAACAGTAGTCAACCGCCGGTTCAACGACACATCAGCGGCAGCTTTTAAATGGTAGTTTAATATACTGTTGAATATTTTCGTAATCGTTTAACAAGTTAGTTGCTCAAAGCAGGCTAACACTGAGGCATACCTCCCGTTAAACTTGAGGCCAGACTAGTCGCTGATGCTGCGAACACAAATGTTGTCAGCGTGTTTGACGTGCCTGACGTTAGCTAGCTAATGTAACGTTAGCTGTTTGGGATTATTGTTAGCCTTAAATGTTATTTTAATGTTATAATGCGTTAAATGTGGAAGCTGACGGTTTAAGTGGGTTGTTGTAGTGACTCAGAAGCTAGCCAGTGTTAGTAGTTTACATTAACCTTAACGTAACCAAGTGAGCATCTGCATTTAGTCCTGCTCTGGAAATACAAAACCCACACTAGCATTGAGGTGGTGAACAGGACCCTGCCTGGCCAAAGCTTGTCAAACCTGCTGGCTTTTTGTGCTCCTTACTTAACCAGAGACTGACCAAAAAATACTCTTTTCACCTGAACCTGAATGACCTGTCCTACCTTTGACCTGTGGAGACTCAATTAACTGTGAAGTCCATATCTTTCCTCTGGCCCACTTGCATTTGTACCTCCATTTTATTGCGCATGGATCATATCTTTCATTGAATTTTCTGAAGTCAACTACTGCATTGCACACTAACTTTTCATCTCCTTAACACCTACATCAGTTATTTGGTCTGCAGGCTTTAAAACAACACAAGCCCTCTGCTCCACGGTCACTGCTACCAGCTGTTGTGTGGCTCTCCATGAAACAGCAATAGTCCCTAAATCATGGAAAGATAATATTGACCTCTGCCGGGCTATCCAGCTGGTCCTTTCTGTTGTTTTATGACCTGTCCTGTGTGACCAGTTGGCTGCCATGTGATGTGGACAAAGCCTTGCAGCAAATGCAAAGTGTCTGTCTACCGTGGGAGAGTTCAACCTAGGAGAAGTCAACTGATATCACGCTGCATCTGTCCTTCTTGAGTTAGACTCATTGCTAATCTGTGTTGTCTTCTGTTTCTTATTTTGCATATTTTCATTTTGTGGTCAGTGTATCCCTCTCACTTCTCTCCAGTTCATTGTCATTCAGTCTGTAAGCTCCCATTTGTGAGGCCAGACAGAATTAATGCAATCGTACATGTACACAAGTAACCTGGCAATGATCTGTATTTGAGGTATCCTGTTAATGTGTTTGAGCACGTAAACACATCATATCCTGGCTTTAGAAACCCAAATATGTTACCTAGAGTGCTCAAATAGAAACAGGGATACTGTGTATCGTTGTCCTCAACACAATGGATGGGTAACACAAGTAATTAGTCTGTAAAAAGGCTGGCTGGGGTGGGCGTGTGTGTGATAATACATGATCTAATGATAATCTGTATTTTAAAATACATGCTGACATGTCTGACACGTTGATGTAGATAAATAGTACTGTCAGATAAGATTGCAAGATAAATTGTTTTGTCAGTTACTTATTTCATTACTTGTGGTAAGATAGAGAAGCCAAAGCCAGCACATTAGTGCATGCAGTCACGTCTATCAGCCGGAAACCAAACTGGGTTCATTCCTTAACAGCTGAGGTAACTCAGCCATTACAGTAATGACGGAGATTGCTGGGACGTGGAGGAGTCACAGACTTAGCTGCAAAGATTTACGATCAATAAAGTTGCACAGCGTTGTGATCGTGTATATATTCTTACTCATCATCTTTGCATGGGTTGCTGTAGCAGGAATTCGTTGACTTTAAAACATCCTCATGTGGATTGGGTCAGCATTTGATAGATACATCAGCGTGACCAAGGATTCCAACCGATATAAGATAACTGCAGATGTGTTGGTATCTCTGAATTTGACATTGCTGTACAGCAATGCCAAATTTATGTCTAGATTTTGAAAATATGTCAGACTGTACAGCAGAAAACTAGGATAAGTTTATTTTTCAACTGTTAAACCTACAGAAACTGATTTTTTTAGCCACTCATGGCCACCATTAACAAGCTGTGAACACAACATTGATATATTATCACCTTTTACATTGATATGGTGATATTGTTAGCACACAGTTGATTATTTACACATCTAGCAGATACGGAGCAACATTATCGTGTACTTGGAGTCATATTTCTGTCCCTTTGTCAAGTCTAAGTCCAATATCCACTCTCTTCTAGTTCTGTTTTTGGTCTTCTGAGGGAAATATCTCATGCGTTAGCTGCTAAATGCTCCGCTATGTTCACCAGCTAGTCACTAACTGTGTCTGTCTGATGTCTAATGCTTAGCGGGTAGTGTTTCGGAGCCTTTTCACTGAAAATGGCTGCTTCCTGCGTCCAAAGACAACACTATTAGAGAGGTCAGAGTGAACCAGAACAGTAAAGTTGTGAGCTGAACAGCTACACAATGAGCCAGTGAGCTGAAACTCACTATAAAGCCATATAAAAGCAGAGAGGAACTACAGATTCAGGTGATAATTAATTCTCAGTAGGTTTGAACAACCCCTTTCACATTGTCACGTTGTTCTCACACTGTCATTTGCTATATTGTTATCATAGAAATATAAATTATAGCAACCTAGAATAGAATATTGGCAAATATATTGCAACCAGTTTTTAAAACTTTCAAATATTTGTATTTGTATCAGCCTAAAAATACCCAGTGTCTTACATACAGTTAGTACACCTATTTTTCCACAAGAATGAAGTCACTGAATTAAAAGCTCAAGCTGTCTCTTCACCTCGCTGTTGTTTTGCATTATCTCCAACATCTCTTCTGCATCACTGAACTGCATGAGCATGCATGCAGATGAACTCGTGCACAGCACCTCATTTACAGGATCACTAAGCTCAACAGAGACGTCTCTCACTCTCACATGACAATCACCATTTGTGTGGTGTCGAGACAGTCGCCTCCGACAGTGTTGCTCCTTTTTCTCGTGCCTGTGATGACTCGGGTAGACGCAGGGGCTTACTGAGATGCTCTCAGCTCAGAGTCCATGCACAACAACCGGGCCTTTTGTCCCTGCTGTGCCCCCATCCGCCCACACAGTGCTCATAATGTCCTGGAGAAAGAGCGTCTTTATCGTGGCTTTCCGAAGACTCATCTCAATCACATATTTTAGGCTCAGCTCGAAAAGACACCAGCTTAAACAGGCTAATGCGACAATATGCCTACAGTAGTGCTGTACCCACCCACACAGGGTTTGACATTGACATGCGTGCATTCACACTTGTAGGGCTAGACAGATTTACTGCTGTATAATCATTTACGTCTTTGTCACTTTTCAGGGAGCTGTAGGTTTCAGGGATGTGTCAGACCTCGGCAGGTTAAATATTGCATATTCTTTGCCGCGCCGCTCCTGAGGGTGTTTGTGTTTTTTCTTTGTGTTGAACATGGCTGAGCTCAGTGGCGCTTTTTTTATTTATTTTTTTGACCACGCTCAAGTGGGTGCTCAGCTGTGGAGGGAGGGAGGGAGGGGATAGTAGGGGCTGGCCAGAGGCTTGCCAAATCGGATGAGAGAGCAGTTGGGAGGAGATAGCACAGAGAGCGAGAGAGGCGAGGACTGCAAAAGAAGAGGGAGAAAAGAGAGCAAGCCAGGGTGGGTGGAGAAGAGAGAGTGACAGTGTGTAGTGAGTGTAACAAGAGAGAAAAAAGAGGGACTCGCAGAGAGCAAAAGAGGGAGAGAGTGGTTGAGGCTGATATAAAAGGATAAAGGCGGGGTTCTGGTTTGTGTCACATGATCCCCTGGCAGGCTGTAGCCTAGTGAGCTCCAGGTGGCAGAGAGACCAGAGATACAGTAGATACAGAGAGAAAGAGAAAGAGGGAGCGGGTCACGCTAGCAAGGCTCACCACAAAGATAACTGCAATTCTTCATTTACCCCCCTCCCTCCTCACACATCTCTCTTTCCGCTCTTTTCTCTCTGTCCTTCAGGAATTCTTCCCGGTCCTGCTTGCCCCCTCTCCTCTCCCGGCCCTAGCAGGCCAGGGAATGTCCCGGCGGCGAGATGCCTTACGTGGACCGACAGAACCGCATCTGTGGCTTCTTGGACATAGAGGAGAACGAGAGCAGTGGCAAGTTCCTGCGTCGTTACTTCATACTGGACACGCAGCAGGGAAGCTTGGTGTGGTTCATGGACAACCCACAGGTAATTACACAGGGCCGTGCTAGCTTAGCTTTTAGCTTCATTTTCGGGAATGGATCCCCCAGGTAACTGAACAGGCTAATGTTTAATTTGTTGCTGGAACACTGGACAGTTTACTGGCAACTGCACACCAGCTATCGTTAGTTAACTGTGTGGATGATCAGCTCTCATGCAATTGCAGGGTAACTGCAGGCCACTTTTAGCTAAACTGTCGTCATTCATTATGAACACAAAACTAAGTACAGGCCTAATGTTTCCATTGCCAGACAGCCATACAAGGATGGGAGAACTTGTATTATGTAATTGTAACTGAAGGCAATTAGGGCCACATTACAGGCACAGGAGTAGGTCAAAACCAATGCTGTGTTTGTGTTTTAGCTACCGGCAGACATTTGTGTAAATCAGTTAGAATAAATATGTTAAAGTCTAAATCTGGGATTATTTTTTTGTCTTCTAGTCGCTCAGATGAGTCCACGCAGTGAGCACTGATACTTGCATTGACCTCAGAGGTCATGATTTTCTGCTCTGTGACCCTCGGTGTCACAGTTATGACAGTGTAACCCACCTCTCGGTTTGTACATCACGCTGGTTTGGAGATGCTGTAGTTTTAAGTACACTGTTACATGAAGTATTCATAAATCATGTAGTGCAGGAGAGATTTTAAATAATTCAGCAGGTCTCTTTCTTTTTATAGATTGAAAAAGCTGAAATTTTAATGATGTTAAATCTGGATCCCGCAGTTTCAGAAGCATGGCAAGAAACTGAAATAAACTATCATGGAGAGCTTTCAAAGTATACTGTACTTACCCTGTAATATTGACTTGCTCTCCCACCACATTATATTCTTTCATTAATCCACAGCCAAGGCTCTTGTCTTGATCAAATGCTGAACAGTTAGTTTTAACTTTCTCTTTTTGCATATATTGTCCTTTTTACCGTCCTCCCACAGAACCTGCCTGTTGGTACAGAGTGTGTTGGCTCCCTCAAGCTCACCTACATCTCTAAGGTAAGAAGAACACAACCGCTGAAGCTCACGGGACACTAACGTGATAAGATGATGAATAAACAGAATCCATTTACAGTATTCGGTTGAGCTAGGAAGCTAACAGTTGTGAGCTTTGTCCTCCTTTAGGTCAGCGATGCCACTAAGCTGAGGCCTAAGGCAGAATTCTGCTTCGGTAAGAAAACACTGATCATCACAATCTTGCCATCTGTTTTAAGTTTTCAGCATTAAAAGAAAAGTAGAAAAATATTTATACTGACATGGTGTAGCTAACAGATTATGGACAATGGTTTAGACAGAATATGTCATGTTAAACAGTAACCCAATTGGCAATAAGATTGCATCTTAAAGTATAAAACTTGCCTTGGGTGCTTTGCAAACATTGGCAGTAAGGGTGGGATTAATCGCATGTTGACTAAGCTGAGAGTACGCTTAATGTAACCTAAGGGAGCAATGTTTGCTGTCCTTGTCTGACCTCTAAACGCGGTCAAGCTCTGCTCTGCACGCACTTTTTCCACCATTGACCACGCAGCCTCATTCAACATTGTCTGTTTAGTCAACACACAGAGCTGCAGGAGGCCACAGCAGTTGATGATGTTTGTGTTTATAAGGTTGAGCTATTTTAGCATTGTTTTTTTTTTTTTTTTTTAAGATTGCATCCTCCTGATAAACATGATGGTTGTGTTTGCACCTTACACATTTTCTTGGAGCATGTATTTTTTATTTAAATTTTTTTATATATATTTTTTTTTTCGGGGCATTTTTGCCTTTGTAAAGGACAGGACAGTTAAGTGTGAAAGGGGGAGAGAGAGCGGGGATGACATGCAGCAAAGGGCCACAGGCTGGACTCAAACCCAGGCCGCTGCGGCAACAGCCTTGTACATGGGGCGCCTGCTCTATCCACTAAGCCACCGACACCCCGGAGCATGTCTTTTTAAGTGTGGTAAATGTGAAGGCTTGTGTATGGGACATTTCTACCAGCAGTCCTGTTTGTATAACTGTCGTCCAATCCCCACCCCTATAAACATTTGTAGTGTCTTTATTTTTCCAGTTTTAAATCTTCATTGTTTATTTCTTTTTCGGGTTTACTGGTGCGAAACTGGCTTTTAAGGCACATTACTGCCAACAAATGTTGATACATATGCTGAAATACTGAACCTTAGGATCGGGTTTTGCTTGAGGACAACTAGTTTTAAATGTCATTCTTGGAAATGGTCGGACCCAGTCCCCCCAACTAAAGGGAGACGATGCCCCTCCTCAAAATTCATACATTATTCCTGTGGTCTAAGACGGTAAAATATAAGTAAACCTCAACAATTCTCTCCCAAATCCTACCTAAAACTTAAACTTGTGATGTCATAGTGTTTAAAGTCTGGAGCTGCTCCACAGACAGTGACTTGGGAAAGGTGTTAAAGCTGACAATGCACCCAGGGGAATGTTCCCAGTGTATGGGTACATGTTCTGTCAGAGGACGAGGAATAATACAATAGAACAAAGCTCGTTTGGGTGTAAAAAAGAAATCAAAAAATCTGTGGGTCACAAAATCAGGCTCCCATTCATCGTCTCTGGAGCAGCTCCAGACTTTATACACTATGACATCACAAGTTTTAGACTCACTTCTCTGGTTTCTGGCTTTAAGAGAGAGTAGCTTATGTTCAGAAATATTGATTGAACTTTCCTCAGCCATGGAAACAAATAACATATTGGAATTAATCATTTTGGTGGTGTTCCCCTTTAAGACGTCAGAAAAGAGTGGGTAGAGAGTAGGGCTGCCATGATTAGTCGTCTAATCGATGACTAATCGACTGTTAAAATAATCGGTGACTATTTTAGTAGTCGACTAATCGGTTTGTCATTTTTCATAGAAAAGCACTATAAAAGTACCCCAAAATACTCTTACTGCAGCTTCTTACATTCAGATATTGGCAGCTTTACACACTCTCCCGTGACAGTGAACTAAAACCCTTTGGCGTGAGTATGAAACAAGACATTAGATGACGTAATTTTGGGGTTTGGGTGAGACAGACCGACATTTTTCAACATTTTAACACATTTTTCGATGAAATGATTAGTCAACTAATCGAAGAAATAATCGACAGATTAGTCGACAGTGACAATAATCGTTAGTGGCAGCCCTAGTAGAGAGAGTTCCTGAAGCTATTCGACCACCTGACAAGCCGTTACTGAAGCATACTTGCAACTTTGCAGCAAAGATATTACTTCCTCTTGACATTTGTCCTTGTCTCTCCACCCTGTGTGGTCAAGACAGGAATGAAAAATGTTGCATAAATACAAACGATCATCAAGTTATTTAGCGATAAACTTCCATTCCCTGTTATTGTTTACTAGCCCCTCTCCTCCTCTTCCATCTGCCTCAATAGCAGGAAATACTAGTGTGTTGACTGCCATGACTGTGTGTGTGTCTAGCTGTGTGTGCGCGCCAGTTGCCTTGTTGAGGTTTCGACAGGATGCCGGCATCCTAATCGGAACCTGATTCAGAGATGTATGAAGTTATTTTTAAACTGCCGTTTGTGTGCCACATGTTTTGCTAATATCTACAAATCCTGCTGCTCCCCAGTTTCCTGCATCGAGCAACTAGATACATAGGGTGATAACGAATTTGGAGAAGTTGGGTAGTACACGTCACAGTTACAGATGTTTATACAGTGAGAAAGCAGAGACTTGATTGCAGTCTGTGATTGATGATGGATATGGGTCTGTGCCTTGAGTGTGTGGTGAGAGAGATCAAGAGCGGTGTATCCGTGTGAACTTTGGTACTTGGCTTCATTTCTCAGCAGCACACATTGTTTTATAATGTGTAACTATGAGTCAGATCTGATACCCTTCCTCCCAGATTTGTCTTCCTAGTGCCGAGAGACCATTACACTTTCATCACTACCAAGCAGTTTACCTCCTCCAAATATACAATGGACACATTTGAAGGTTAAATGAGACCAGACAGACAGATTTATTTACAGGGAAAATGGGGAAAGAGGGAGAGCGAGGTCTGTCTAAGAGCTGGACCAAACACACAGAGCGAGGAAGAATGATCCTCATTGTGCCACAGAGTTTGAGCTCCCAGTGCCTTTTACAGCTCGCCCCCGCCAGATTTACCAGTCCAGCTTTAATGTAATTCATTCCCATGGTGTCGAAAGGAAATAGAGGAGACACAGGGATGGTTTGAGCTGCAGAATCGAAGGATTTATGACAGAGGGAGAGAATGAGCGACTCGAGTTCTTTCAGCTCCTAAATCCTGATCCATAGCTAATCAGCATTTGACCCAAAATTTTCTTTGTGACTGAAAATGGGATACGCTCATGTTCACATGGGTGTGAAAATGTGCGAGGATATTTGGTGGTTGGTGGGTTTTTTTTTCCTCCCAGTCATGGTTAGGAGTGGGAAGGTAGTGGCAGACTGAGACAGCTGGGTCATCATCCACATGCAGTGGGAATGCTGCTGGTAGTGTGTGGGAGAGTCCCTTGGCTCAGTTGTTTTTCACTTCCAGAGAAATCTGTGGCAGTGGATCTGCTCTGCTGACGCTCCATCATATTTTCTGTACAAGAAAGGCCAAATGTGCAATTAGCACCCACTTCATAGTACCTCTTTGTTCTTGCAGTGGCCATTTGCATGTGATTCATATCAAACACAGAATGAATCAGTTGATGTAGTCTGGAGAATGTAGTCTGGCTGTCTGAATATACTTTCACTCTTTTTATGATTCCCACTGCTTTTTTTATGATCCATTAGTCATCAATGCTGGGATGAGGAAGTTCTTCCTGCAGGCCAACGATCAGCAGGATCTTGTGGACTGGGTCAACGCTCTCAATAAAGCCACCAAGATCACTGTAAGACAAACACACGCACACGGTCACAGATAAACATGGGACTTACAGTACATCCCTGAGTCAGCTGTACTAATTTGTTCTCTTTGGCTCAAGTTTTATCTCTTGGAGAAACTTTTATTTCTTCCCCTTCTGTAGAAATGAGTGAGTGGACTGTCAAGAAACCAGATAGGAGTGAGTCAGAGCATGACTAACAGGATGCTGTATTGTTGTATTAAGTGCTGGGATAAAGGACTGTTTTCATTGTTCTCCGTGAAGCCACAACGATCCAGAAAGGAAATGGATATTAAGTGTGTTAAAGGCTAGTCAACTTCTGCATACATAGAAGTTACACACTGTATTTTAACTGTAGAGAAAAGGGGGTATATTAAACCCAAAAGCTGAATCTGTTCAGAATCTGTATGTTTTATTTAACTTCTCAAGTATGATGTGGGTGTATTTCCCTAAGGTGCCAAAGTTGCCTGATGGGCAGCAGAATGCAGAGAACCAGAAGACTTTGCCGGACGTGGTAGGGGCCAAGAAACAAGTCTCCTATAAGACGGAGATCATTGGAGGAGTCCCCATCGTCACCCAGACACAGGTAAAAGATTTAAACATTTCAGTGTTTACACTGAAACACACCGGTGTCAAACTATACTAGTGTCATCAATGAAAGTAAACAAATTTTATTATTATGAAAAAAAAAAACAACTTTAGCTGTAAATACGCTTGTGAATTTTAACATAACTCCCACAGTACTCTGCAGTGGGCTTTTTATAATTTTTTTTTTGGTACTTTAAGTTTGCCAGTTACTTTATTTTTGGTGCCTTTTCGCCTCAAGCACGATGGTGGCGATGGTGCAGACAGAGCAGAGCGTGAGGCCATGCATCGGTCCCACAGCCAGCTGCCGTATTTCCTGGGCAGGCCGACTCAGGAGCACACCGTCATCAAGTCGGGCTACTGCGTCAAGCAGGGAGCTGTGGTGGGTACCTGCCACTCTGTTGGTTTCAGTTGAGGTTTGCCAACACAGTCAGGATTGTGACTCTTGAGGCATCTTCCAATCAGACATGTGGAGGTGGCTGGCGTCCCTGCTGGCTGCATACAGTCCAACAACAAGCTTTTCCTAAACACACTGCATTTAGTAAGCCTCACCATGGCCATGCAACACCACTTATTATTAATGGCAACGTTACAATTACGGTGACATCCAGTCATCCAAGTCTTATGACTTGTGGAATGTCAGATGATGAGATTTCAGCTTGATTGTAACAAGGAATTGCCTCAGGAAATACACAATTCTGTACTTCATACATGGCCAAGTATAATGAGTGTCACCTGCTACACATAGACATTGTAAACTGTGTTATATTACAGCTAGAATTAAAACTGTGCTTTAACCAATGTAGCAAATTGACAAATATGACAGTTGTTATTTTGCCTGGAAATTCTACAAAAGGTCTTTCTTTTACCTTCTCCCCCCAGATGAGGAACTGGAAACGGCGCTACTTCCTACTGGAAGAAAACTCAATGAGTTACTTCAAGTCAGACTTGGTAATTAACTTAAAGTTATGTGAAGCCTTTGAGGAATGTTTTTATTGTGAATTGAATTCACCCCCTCTGTCTGAGGCAGAGTAACAGCAAACACACTGTCCCGAGTTCTGACATGTTTTATCCGCAGTCTGTGGAATTCAATGCTTTCACTTCACGTGTCCTATCATGCCTTGTTCCCCCCCGTCTTTTCTTACACACACACATACACACAAAAACACACACAGACTGTCCTCAGGAAAATACTGCACGTCCCATACCCAGTCCTTGTCCAGGTCTGCCCTTATTTGACAGCTCTATCTCTCTATTTGGCTATCAACAGACCCCAAGGACACAGACTCTCTGTCTGCTGTATCAAATGGCCGGGTCAAGAAAGTTACAACCATCAGGGTTTTTAGTTGCAGTTTGCTTCTTCTAGGAAAGTTCGCTGTCTTCTGTCCCTGTGAAACAGAACACACAGCAAGACGGCCTCGTTTTTAGACAAGAAAAAACATTTATCCTGTGTGTTTTCGTTGACAAGTTTTGACTCCTTTAAGTATTATAAAGAGATGTTTTCTTGCCTTCAGGAGAAGGAGCCTCTAAGAATGATCCCACTGAAGGAAGTTCACAAAGTCCAGGAGTGCAAACAGAGGTATTTAACATGCCCCAGCATTTTCCCATTATACAAAAATATGTCTATTGTCATGGTGGACTGTGTTTACCTTTTCTGACTCAGATAAAGATACAGATGAGATTAATATGATCTGACCTGTTTCCCTCTTTGGTTGTAGTGACATTATGATGAGAGATAATCTGTTTGAAGTCGTCACCACATCAAGGACGTTTTACATACAGGTAGGATGTTTTCTGTGTGGAAAGGAATGTACAGTCAGTCAGTCACAAACACTGTGGGGAAACACTGCTAACAGTATGTACAGTCTCACTCTCCTCTCTTTGCTCCTTGTTCTTTTTGTTTGTGTGTCCACTAGGCGGACAGCCCAGAGGAGATGCACAGCTGGATCAAGGCAGTGTCAGGGGCCATAGTGGCCCAGCGGGGGCCTGGGAGGTCTGCTGCTACAGTATGTATCTTGCTCTACACTACAACACACATATTACTAAAGTAGGATTCAAGTCATTAAAAAATCTGACTGGATACACAAATTTAGATACCTTAAATGTACAATTGAGAAGTGACCTCAGACTCGACTTGCATGTGCAGAACTTGAGACTTACTGAGTGACGTGGTGGTACGAGGAGGACTGTTCATGAGACTTATTTGTGTTGTTTCACTCATGTCATTTCTTGATTTATGTTTCAGTTTCTCGCTCTCATACAGCAGCAAGCTACAGAGATGCAGAGAAAATCCTTTTTTGAGATCATCTTAAACAGATGCAGAGTAGCAGAAACAGTAGTTTGGCAGTGTGTGTCGGATGAGTTTGCCCTATGACCTCATTATTGTGTTTTAAATATATTGAGCCCAGCTGTTCTAGCTGTGTAATCTAAAAACAAGATTGATGGAGATAAATTCTGCTCTGTAGTCTACACCAGTATTTCCTAAACTCCCTAGACACGGACTGGTACAGGGCCTTGGGACATTTGCTACCACAAGGAAACAATGTGAATTGGCAAGAAGAAAGTTGGTTATATAACTTTATAGGCTATTTTAGCATTTTTACCTTGAACCTCATCCGTCCTCGTCACTACGTTAGCAAAATAAAGATTTTTTTCCCTTTTTTGGCCGTGTTGTGTCTTCTATAAGACAATCAACAGATGACAGGAAATGAGGGGAGGGAGAGACAAATGTCCCCAGCTGGATGCAAACTTGGGACAGTTCATGTTTGGCACCTTAACCCCTGAGCCACCAGGCGCCCCTACACTGATTTTTAACTTAAGTGGGTCATCAGTACGTAGGATAACCAGTGCGTCATAACCACTGAAATGATGACGGACTGGTGTACTCACACAGACCACCAAATCTGTGTGAGAATGTTTTAGAACCGGTTAATGAGTTTAATAAGCAGCCTGCATGCACAGAAACAGGCAGCTAGACTCGAGCAGGTGAGAAGAGAGAAGTAAACCAGTTCTGTAGTCCTGACTGCAGAGGAGACAGTGTCCTCTGATGCAGTCGGTCCCTTCTGGTTAGACTGGAATTATTCTCAACACCTCTGCGCTGTCTGTTTCCCTACAGTTCCCTCTTTTCTTCCCTCCTGTGTCTTTCTCTCTCTCTCTCTCTCTCTCTTGCTTGTTTTTCTCTCACCTCCCCTTTTCCTCTCCTGTGCCTCTTCTCTCTCTCCTATTTTCCCCCTTTCTTTCTTTGTCACATTCTCTCCACCTCCTCCTCTCCCTGTGGGCAGACAGCCCATCTGCTCTAATACTGCTTTGCACTGTGTTGTTGCAGATGCGGCAGGCCAGACGGCTGTCGAACCCCTGTATACAGAGGTATACGTCTCGAATCGGGGAGTGCAGCAGCACGTATGTCAGCTCGTCTAAATCCCCCCCTTTAAACTATAAGTTCACCTTTTTTTAATACTGTTTTCCACTCACTGGCTGGCCCCTCTGTGGTTGTAGACATGATGAGAGCAGATCAGATCTGACTGCACATCTGATGCTCCCTTTTTTTTTCCCAAAAGCCAACCACATCCTAAGTATGGCTGTGATAACCCAACAAGCGCTCCTCCCTTCACGCCCTCGTCCTTGCTGCTTCTCTCATCCACTTCTCCTCCTTTGCTTTCCTTTTCTTTTTACCGCACTGTCACTTTAAGCTCAGCTCAGATTTGTGAGCTCATTACATTCAGTGCGCTCAGACAGTTCCCGGTTAAAAAAAAAAAAAATCTTCCAGGAATTTTAAGAGTTGAGGTGTGCTTGATTTAGCTTCTCTCGCATGTGATGACTGTCGAGCATGGCAACTGAAATCAAGAACACCTCAAGTCGCTCAAATACTTCAAAGTAATATTTTTGCACAAGTACAGAATGACTCTAAACAACTGGAATATGACCATCTAACCATCGGAAAGAACTGCAGTCACTGCCTCCCTCCCTCCCTTATAGCTTCACCTGCACAGCTTTTACCTGTCCTCACCATGATGATGATGCTCCAGTGTAAAAATATAGATATACCTGATTTCATGTACGATCCATGCACAGACATACACTCACTGCATGACCTACCTGAGCAGCTTAGCTATGAATACCTAAAGCCTGTTTCTGTCTCTGTCTTTATTACTGGGTACATGTGTCTTTCACACCTTCTGTTTCTCTTCCCTTCATGGTCTGTTATCTCTGCAGTCTGCTGCAGCTGTGTACCTGTCTTAGATGTGTGACATCCTGCTTGTCTCTCCTCCTCCCTCCTGTTCGCTGCCTGTATGTTTTTTTTTCTCTTTCTCATACACACAATAATGAGATACTTGTTTCCATGTTGACTTCCTGTAACTTTTGTGTACTTAATGTTCTTTAACAGCTTTGAAATGAGGACTCGCTAATGCTGAATCCACACGTCCAGAGTCACAAACTAGTGATTTTCATAGGGATTTGTTGATTCATTTACATTAGGGATGTCCCGATCTGGTATTAGGGCAGATCAAGGAGTTTTCTAACTGACCAGGATCTGCTATATTGAGCATTATAGAGCCTGACCTGATCCTTTGTATTACGTCGGCTATCACCCAAGCTTCTGTGCACAACAACGCAACGAGTCCAGCCTAAATCAACTCTCCCACACTCTGCTGTCTGTCTCAGTCTCCACTCCATGTGTCAAAGAGCAGGGACTGAACCCCGCCTGTGGTGAAACATAAACAACAGCAAAATGCAGTATGAGACCATTTATTTATGTCATTTACCTGATTTATCTGACTCGTTTTGAGACGCTTGCATTTTGCTGTCATCTGTGGTGCGTGGCGTTCACTGCCCTGCTCAGAGCAGAGACAAACAGCTCTGTTGAGCGGACGACACCCACACTCACCACGCCACTGCGAGTCCTCCAAAAGCCCCCGCGAGTAAGAAGCCAATTAAAGTAATTCATTAATGTAGCCTTGCAAACGGTGTATAGACAACAAAAATAAACACGTAACTGAATACAGTTAATTCAGGTAACTCAGGCAAAGACTGACCCAAAGCAACAAACACTCAGAATACTCTCTTAAAAGGGTAGAGACATTCAGCGACTCTGTGCAGATGTATTATCTAGAAAAATAGAAATATCAGATCGGGCTCGATACCAGCAGATTGGGGGCAAAAAACTTGGGTAATCCCTTATTTACACATGAATATTTAGGTTTCTAGGAGCTATTTGAGTGTGCAAAGGGCTGATGGGACATTTCTTCAGTGTGGGCTATTATCTGATTTTCTGTCTAATCACATAAAATTCAGCATAATCTTGATTTTGGACTTTTGGATTCAGCATAAAGCATCTCTTAATACGTGTGGCTCTCCCTAGGATTTTTAGACATGTTTGTGCTAGGAAACTGATTCTTTAATCTTGTGATGCTTAGTGATACTTTGTGGATTTACTAATCAGAATTATCACAAGCCTGCAGAGTCACAGGGTATCACTGTGGAGCATCTCTGTGTCGAAATACAGGATCTCAAAGTTGGCACAGATATTTGTATTTGAGTCTTGATGTTTCTCTAACCAACATTTCACCAGCTGCTCAGCGGCTACCCCCTTTTTGCTTTCACTGCCTCTGCTGTGTTTTTCCTTTCCTCCCATGCTCCTGTTCTGTGTTTCAGAGATTGAAATCTGACAATGAAAAGCTGTGAAATAATGAGCAACAACCAACCACTGCTTCCTAAGGCACTCTGCTCTTCCACTGCAACCTGTCGAGACTACCAAAACTAAAAACCTGCTGACACTACTTCCACTACTCCCGCTACCTCTACTACTTCTTCTTCTACTACTACTACTGTTACTACCACCATCTCCACTCTCTAGCAATGCTACATTCTTCAGCACCTACAACCCTTCAGTACCAACTCTGCTAAAGCTGCATCAGGCTCCACATGCTGGTGCTAATTCCAAGTCTGTAACGCACTTTCGCTCTCCTCAAATAAGCTACACACGTCAGGATCTCACATTGCTTACTAACAACCACTCTCTTGTCTTCTCGCTGTCTCTGTGTCCTCCTGCTGTTTCTACTGCAGGAACACGGCGGCCGCTCCACTTTCTACCGCAGCCACGCGGGTCCCCCCGTCCCTCGCTCGCCCATATCTGCCATGCCACCATGCTACCCAGAGTGGGGGGCTGCTGTCACGTGCGGCACACGCTCGCAGCCTGGCGTGGGACAGCGAGCACTTCATGAGCCTGCTGCCACGGCCCAGTCACAACCACACGCCAGCACGCCTGTCCCTGCAGGAGACGCGCCTGGCAAAGTGACCTGCGAGCCACCTGCGACCACCATTGATAGCTCTGAGGAGTCACCGTGGCGACGGCGGAGCAGCTTTGAGCCCCACATGCCTGAACCACCCCTGGACCTGGATGACGCTGACCTGCCAGTGAGCGAGGTCTGAGCCGTTGAACTGGGCGATAACACTTGCTTATCTGGTTGGATGTTGACAAAGATTCAGAGGAGAGATGGTGCACAACAGGTGTTTTTAAAAAAGAAAAAAAAAAAAAAAAGGGCAGACATTGGTTGTCAAACCAAAGCTGTTGGCGGATGACATTATACGTCACAGACTCATGTTCTGAGCTCCTCCGTCAGTGCCGTCAGTGTGCTAGAGAAACAAGTCGGGTCACCACTGAACTGCACTCATGTGCCAAAGACGACCCAGTCTCCACCCACCACCACCTCCACCCCGCCTGCCTGCTGTCGCATTTATAATGGTGTATTTATTTACTAAGAGTTGATGTTGTCAGACAAAACTACAAATTTTAGTTAACTTGTGCTGATTAGGATTCAGTGACAGCTTTATTTTAACCTGTACAGGCACGACGATGTGACAGAGGATTTTTGTAAACCACTTTGTGCCAAGACAAATAAGGGAGCTTTCAAGTTTGCAAACTTTTTCCTCTTGACTGAAAAGTGTGTTCAAACTGAGGACTGATTTTTCATCACCTCTTTTATCTACGCAGTTAAACTGTGTGGTCCATTCATACACTCACTGTTGTAACCTTGGATTTGTCTACTTTTGTTGGCTTGTGTATGGGTCAAGCGTAGTCTGAGATCAAACCGAAAGCAAATTTTAATTTTAAGATTCTGGACGGGTGGGACAAGATGCAAAAAAAAAAAAAAATCAAAAATATTTTTATATTATGACCCAGCATGTATGATAATGCAAGACCAGTGTATTGCAGCCACATTTAATCTGATTTTTTTTATTACAGTTAACAAAACTTTGGCGTAAATTTCTCCTTATTTTTAAGTATATCTAAGGGTTAAGTGTTCAATTATATAAAGGCATCCCGAATGAGATTTTAGCTTACTGTAATCGACCACAAGCTAAATTATCTTACATTTAAATCTAAAGTGTTAGTCACAGTTAAACATAGTACAGTGGGAGTACTGTGCAGAGGTGCAAAAGCTAGAAACGTAGATGCTATCACAGTACATGCATCACTCCACAGCCTGAATCAGCCTCTTTGCAAACTACATTTCAGCATACCAGACTTTACGGACTCACGTTTGGATGACGTGGGAAGTAAACAAGAAGTACAAGGAGTACGCTTGTGTGTGTTTTGTAATTCATAGTAATAAAACCTTCAACAATAGGGCTCTCTGTCAGTTCTAGATAAGCTTCATGTCCCCACGGACAAGGTAATAACATGGTAATAAAGATTAATATACTGTATAAACGCCATGCAAACATTTCGAATAATTGTTTACCAGAAAAAAAAAACAAGTTCAGACAGTTCCGTTGCATGTTAACATTTTAATGATTCCTCACTGTCTTTCTGTTTTTAGTTCTTATCTATGGCCGCTCTGTGTGTTGTGTGTGTGCAGGATAGAGCTGTGTGCAGCAGATTTATTTTTTATATGCTTTTAGATGTTTCTTGATTTTATCCCGTGTATGTGTGTTGCCGACCCAGGAGCAGGCAGCTGCCTCATGGTTTTATTTAAACATGTCTCACTGTAGTCCTGCTAAATAATACACACTAATCTTTTTTTTTAAAGTGCCTGCTTCATTTCAACCCAACCGAGTCGAGCTGTTTCACCCTCTTTCAGTCTGGTGTAATTGGTTTGAATTGTCTCTATTTATTATGTGGATGACTTGAAAGAAATAAACACTGAAAATGTGCTCAGATTTCCTGGAGTATCGCTCAGTATCGTGCTTATCTATCTCCAAAGGGCACAGTTAGTGTGTGAGGGTGAAGTGAGAGCTTCAGTTAGGAGGTGTTACTGCTGGTCCGCTCACCAAGGCTCCTTCTGCCCTCTTGTGGCGAGAGAAAAAACTTCACCCTGCTTCACTTCCATTAACATGGCAAGGACTGAAACACCAGTTATGTGTTGATCTGTATGATTCAGTTATCAAAAAGTAAATTAATTCCACTGGACCAAAACACCAACTAAAATGAAAGCAGATAAAATATCAACAGAAAATACAAGAAGGCAGCATATTGTGCCACAGGAGACACATACAAGCACTGAAAAGGAGAAGAAGCATGCAAAAAAAGGTGTGTGCTGGACCACATATTTCCTCTCAGCACACTGTAATGTGATCGGCAAAGCTTTTAATTACATATTATTACTATAATTAACACAAGGGCACAATATTTATTTTGATTTGGCAAATGTATTCAAAACCACAAATGAGAGAATCAAATTAATGTTAAATTAATTTAACTGCTTTAACTTAATTAGTTTGAGTTTAATTGCAATGTGCTTGAAATTATTATTTGTGTGATTGAATCATCTTGATATGATTCCACTGAGAGTTAAAAACCAGTAATGTTGATTTAGAGCCCTGAAGAGTTGTTCTTGTGGAGCGCTTGGTTTGCCGAGTGGTTACAGTGTGTGCCACGTTACTGCAACATCCAGGGATTGGGACTTTTGTTGCCTATCACACCATCTCTGCTCTCCCATTTTCACAGTGTCTCTATCAAATAAATGCAAAAGTAACAATGAAGAATCTTCAAAAAAAGAGCTGTCCTTGCAAATCATACAACAAATCACTCAACAACATAACTTACATGTAAAAAAAAAATGAGTCACTGTCAATAGGAAATTAAGTTTTCTCTGCATGTACACAGTGATGGAAGACATTCAGATTGTTAACAGAATTAAAAGTAGCAATACCACACAAGTACTGCATTGAAAACATCACTTAAATAATAGTGGTACGTAAGAATGAACAAAATGTACTAACAATCATTCACAATGCAAAATATAGCCCCTGCAAATGTTACATTATTATATGTGTTAGATTAAAAACATGAAAGTAGCAGAGGACTTTTATTTTGACAAAAATTATAGACATTTACTCCATAAATTAATGCTAAAATTGCACAAATTGGTGCATAAAAATTGACCAGAATGCAGGAAATTACATGTTTGGTGCTCAAAATTTTCTGGCGAATGAAACCCCCTAATACTGAAATGAAAGCTACGCCCTTGAACACTGTCACTAAATGTAGAAATGAAAATAAAGTACAGTACAAGTAGCTCAAATCTGTTATAAGTACTACTTCAGTTACATTGCACCACTGCACATATATTCTACATATCCTCCTCCGCACTGATGATTCACTCATGTATGTCTTGGTATCTTTCATCAGCTCTTAATGAGGTGCTCGTTACACGCACAGCCTCTAGCTTTGTACAGTGTGTGTAGATGGATCTGCAGAGTGAGGTCATGGAGCAACACTGAATATGTAAAGCTTCTTCAGTCAGTCAGATAACCGGCTGTGACATATTCTGGGCTTCAGCCGTTGTGTGTGCAGCGTATTGTGGATACAGCATGTGTAGGCACAGCAAGTTGATAAGGGTGATGTCAAGAGGTTCAAAGACGGAGAGAAAAACAACATGTATAGCTGGCTGGTGTCTCGAGGTGGGAAGTGCTGTGTACTGTGAGTTTGTTCTGCTGCATCTTCACATGTACATCTCAGCTCCTCATTGGAGGATCTGAGACTTTGGTGTGGCTGCAGACGTGGAAACTGAGGCCCGTTTTGGACTCTCGAGGGCCTCACTCACAGCCAGAGATATTCATTGCAGACTGGAGTGGAGAGATCACACAGACCTCAATGGCGTCCATCCTCACTGGCCTTGGTTGGAGAATGGGTGTTCCTCAGAGATGAGGTTGTTTTCATGTGCAGATTTTCCCACCATTTCTCGCCTACGTTCCTGTGCTCCACGGGTATTGCCACATAATGGGTCTGATGATGCTGTAAGGTCTCGCTGCTGTTAAGTAAGTCTCGTTTGTTTTCGGGTAGGTCGGCGGTGCGAGTCGTGCATCAAAATGACACGGTGCTCTAATTTAAAAGAAAACAACCGTGAATTCTGGGTTCTGAATTTCACTTTCACTGTTTCCTGTTCTGCACAAGGCAGTCCAGTCTTTAAGAGCATATGACCACCCTCCAATCCCATAATGCCCTCTCTAATTGCCTTTTGGATACAAAGCCTTGTGTTACCCCAAGCTCTGGGTGCACCGCAGGGGGCCTCGTCCCTCAAGTCCCTCCATTCCCTGAGAGGTGCTCCCCTGCATCTAGCCACAGCATGTAAACTAAGAGCCGTTAATACAACAACACCGCGCCCATAATCAATCACATTATACTGAGGTGTTTTAAGACGCCTCAGTGTTTACTGGATTCTTTTACAGCTCACCGCAGACATCTAAACCTAACAGAGATTTGTTGTTTGCCAACACTTGATACTTGAAATGTAGCTTACGACTGAGCATGTGGCACAAACGGTTATTGTAAGAAATGTTTAGATTACTCTTTGATTGACTGACACTTGAACTTGGATGCAGTATTGTCATCAGGATGTCTCCATCACATGTTGTTTGTTCTCCCCGCTTGTACCTCACAGAGCTGGGATAAGATCATAAATGATGTTCTCTTGCATTTTTCCAATTAGAACAAATTTAGCTGTTTATAAGGGGCTGTTTGAGTGCTACATTAACTCCACAAATCCCACAATCCACCCAACTTTTTTTCCACCACTGATTTTCCCAATTAGCCATAGGGTTTGTGTGGAAGCCAGGAGTGACTAATTCATAGAGGGAGTAGTAAAAAAAAAAAAAAAAAAAAAAAATACATGTAGGAAATAGGCCTGCAGGATGTGTGGAGGGCTGTGCAGCATATTAAACATCTGGGCTGCGTGGCTCCTTCCACTACAGTGGGTTTGTTTCACTTTTCTATTTTTATGTGTTTGTAAATAATTAAATCAGGGTCAGTGCCAATATCAGCAAACACTGGCACAGCTGAAATGTCCTCCAGCAGTGGTTCCCAACTGGTGGGTTGTGGTCCAAAAGCGGATCGTGGGACCGCAAGTGACTCATGAACATGTCAGGTTTGTAAAAAAAAAAAAAAAAAAAAAAAAAAAAATTATTTATAAGTATATTAATTTTCCAGCAAAGAGCACTTATTTGAAGTGCTGTTTCCTGTTGTAGTGAGTGACTAACAGACAGCTACTTGACAGAGACAGCAGACTAGCCCAACAACAAATATGATGCTGAATTCATTAAACTGTGGGACCTCAAACTAATTTCTAAGCAGGATTTATACTCGTGTAGCAGACCCTACGCTGTTGTGAGCATTTATAGTTGTGCTGGTGTGTCTGTGTCACTCTGCTGTTACACCTCCAAAACACTAGTTGGCAGTGGAAGATTTTGTAAAGTGCTGTAAAGTGTAGTTTATTCAAAAACACATTAAACATGGCTTAATAGAGACCGTTTCAGTACACAAATCAGCTTCACTATAACTCGCAGCATTCACAGACAAATACTTGTCTTTATCTGGACACATTTTACACACAAACGTAACACGCTAACATTATTAGCATAAGCCTATGGCATTTTACAGTGTATAAATTAGCCTAGCAGATGGTCGCCCTCAAATTTTCAAGTGTTTTTTCCTGTTCTCATATAAAACCAGGGACAACAACAACATTTAACAAAGGTAACAGTATGTAATTTGGCTCTATTACAACTCACAAGCTTCACTGACAAAACAACTGTCTTATACTAAACACGTTTCCAAACAAATACAACATGCTAACGTTATTAGCACAAGCCTATACATTAGCCTAGCGGTCAACAGACGTTTCCTCTTCTCATATGAAACCAGGGACAACAGCAACATTTAACAAAGGTAACGTTACATAATTTGGCTTCATTACAACTCACAAGATTCACAGACAAAACAACTTAATTGTACTGAACACGTTTTCCAAACATATATAACTTAACATGCTAACATTATTAGCACAAGACTATGGTAGTTGACACTGTATAAATTAGCCTAGCAGTCAACAAACATTTCCCCTTCTCATATAAAACCAGGGACAACAGCAACATTTAACAAAGGTAACAGTATATAATTTGGCTCCATTACAACTCACAAGGTTCACTGACAAAACAACTGTCTTATACTAAACAGGTTTGCCAAACAAATACAACATGCTAACGCTATTAGCACAAGCCTGACATTTTACATTGTATAAATTAGCCTAGCAACGAGCGGACATTTCCTCCGCCCAAATGAAGCCAGGATAAATCAAACCCAAGATTTAAAATGCTATTTTTATGGAGGCTTTATTGTCTTCACGATTTATTGTTTCTTATCTGTGAAATAAAAATAAATAAAAGCTTCTTTTCCACTGAGGGAAATGGTTTCAGCTTACAAAAATAGACAGGAGGTCTGTGGAGGTGAACATAGACAGGTGAACGTCAGGCTATGGCGTAGGTTAGATGACCTTTACCCTCTCATCCCCTTTGGGGGGAAGCAACAGAGAACTACTGCTGTCACTTGATATTGGCAGTTCAGTGTCACAGTTCTTAGATAGATACAGTGTGTTGCCTTTTCATCTCTCATTTGCATTATTTTATCTTCAATCTTCAATAACCCTCTAGCTCTTCCGTTCAGTACGTCACCTAAACGCACCAATCATCAGGCTTGTTGAGATTATCTACAAAGTGAGCTGCGTCTGTGATGCGCTGCCAGCACCAACGTAAAGTCGCGTAATTGGCTGCGCAGTGGAGTTTCTGTTAAATGCCTCTCCAGCTGAAGTGACTCCCCTCTCATTACTACTGAGCTCTCTCATCCCATTACACTGCAAGCAGAGAGCGAGCTTGACAAACTCTTT